CTTTCCCTAGCAAGAGCAAAGTCCACTTCCTTTGTTATCAGCTATGCAACAGTGTTAAGGTATTCTGAAAAGAACATGTACACGGTAACTTAATTTAAATGTATACTTTCATCCCTATTTTTCTAAATTTGGTATTTTGTTCCTCCTACATCCAAGGCCACTCTTTAATATGGATGTGAAAACTCTCTTTTTTAAGCATTCTTCAAATACTTAGAGAATATAGTTAAAAATTAAAGTAACCTGGGAATAGGATTTTTTTAAAAACAAAATCAAGCACAGAGCCAATTTTCCACTTTGTTTTTTTTCTGATTTAGTTTTGCTGAAGAGTAGGATCACTCTTCAGAAAGGTGAAATTCAATGGAGAGCTAAGCACTAAGTATGAGTAGACAGCTCTTTTGTTATTAGTTCTTTCACACAAGATAAATAAATAAAAAAATCCCAAGACCTGAAAAGATAAAATCTAGTAACAATTCTACTGTTACAATTGCTCTTGCACTTTTATTTCTCACACATTGTCTCTTACTTTTTTTCATTTTCTTCCCTGTATATTATCTGTACAGGCATAGGACCCTAGTTTGACAATAGTATTGCAGGACACCCATGTCCGTTTTCCTGTGAGTCTGTTTTTGTAAGACTAATTACCTGGTGTCCATATATCATAGTAAACACAATAGCTTGTGTCTTCATCCTACCCCTATGGGCCTCATTCTTTCTCAGTTGAAGGACCTGTTTTAGGCAGGGATTTCTAGTGAGGCTGGGCATCCACAGTTGACAAATCTCGAAGTTTCTTCTGATACAATATCCCAGACCTGGTTTTCTTTGCGCGTCTCTGTGTCTGTGTGTGTGTTTGATCAAACACAAACTGAAAGATCAAACTCTAGTTTCGCTGTTAAAATTGACTTTGCTGAAGAATGGAGCAATATTGTCCCTATCAAGTCTGCTTATTCCTTCTGCCTCAACCTCCTTTTTGCAGCTGGTGTGCTGCATAGTAAACTATCTCAGATAATTAATCCAGGCCAACTTTAACTTCACAAAATTACGAGCTTAAAGTGATGGTAAAACTCCAGCATTAACTGTATGATATAAATTCTATTTAAATAACCTTTGTACTAGATTCTTTATCTGCATTGAAAGGACTTCCTCTTTCACATATGTCATCTATTACAGTATCTTATTTTCTTCAGCGTACTCTATACTATACATTAATATACGGAGTCCTATATTTTCAGAGAATAGACACTCATTTTTATGTAATATTTCTGAATAAGTCATGTTCTCTGCTTTCTTTACGCTTCATGTTTTCTGGTTATATTTTACTAATTTCACCAACATTTACTTTTACAATCTGCAGTGTTCAGAAAGCTTCAGACAGAGCCCAGCTAATCACTGGCACTCATGAGGTGAGGCTGGTCTGGGCCATGAAAGCCTAGGGTGCATGCAGGGCCCTGAAAGCTACTACTGCGGTTGGATCTCTTTGGGCAAGATCTTGTGTCAAGTAAAAAATGTCTGATTGTTCCCAAAGACTTTATAGTTTTATTGTCCAATACCTGCCAGTATAGTACATAAACACAAGCCTTAAATCATAAGACTATCCACTAACTGGCATCAAAGATTAATAAATTCCACTTACATAATTTATCATAATTTTTCAAGTAAGGAAAAACTGGTGAGTTAGTAGCAAAATATCACAAAGAACAGGTTTTCATAGTCCAACAGTGGGACTGAAATTAAAATAGAGTGTGGGATCTATTTTTGTTTAACTGAAACTATGTTTTTGCTATATGAATAGCTGAATTTAAAGACCTTCATATGTTGATCATCCAACAACCTAAATACACATTCTCTTTACTACTGCTGAAGAGTAAAAACCTGCAAGTCATCTGTAATTTCAGTGGCCATTACTGGCTATTTTCTGTCATGAAATCTGATATATAATCATGTGTTTAAAATTCAGATGTCTCCCAGTAGTAGTGCTTGTGTAGTAACTGTTTCAGTAAGAATGTAGCTAGCTTAATTGCCTCTACAACAAATTTTTATCCAGACCAGTCTATAATTACAGACCCTTATACCATGTAGTTTTTCATATTTTTACAAAAGCTTATTTTTTTGCATGTTTCACTCGTGTTTACAGAGAAGACCAATATAAATTTTTATCTCTAAGGCTTGAAATTGTTTCAACTGTCCATTAAAAAATCAGAATAGTTCTTCTCCAACTGAATATGTTTCAGACAATTGTGTTTTCTAAACCATCTTCTTTCAAATATGTATAGACAATTTATACAGACAGCGTGTATTAACTGAAGCAGGATTTAGATACATCATTTTCTGACCAAAAAAACCCAAAACTAAACTGGAAAACTCTGGATCTGGAAAAGATCCAGAGCTGATGAATCCAGCTGGTTTTGCCTGGGACAGAGTTAATTTTCTTCACAGCAGCTAGTTTGGATTTGTGCTGGAAACAGTGTTGATAATAGAGATGTTTTTGTTATTGCTGAGCAGTGCTTACACAGAGCCAAGGCCTTCTCTGCTTCTCACCCCACCCCACCAGCGAGGAGGCTGGGGGTGCACAAGAAGCTGGGAGGGGACATGGCTGGGATAGCTGACCCCAAGTGACCAAAGGGACATTCCATACCATATGCCGTCATGCTTCAGCATATAAAGCTGGGGGAAGAAGAAGGAATGGGGGAAAGTTCAGAGTTACGGCCTTTGTCTTCCCAAGTAACCATTACGCATGATGAAGCACTGGTTTCCCTGGAGATGGCTGAACACCTGCCTGCCCATGGGAACTGGTGAATGAATGCCTGGTTTTGCTTTCCTTGCATGCACGGCTTTTGCTTTACCTATTAAACTGTCTTTATCTCAACCCATGAGTTTTCTCACTTTTCTGATTCTCTCCTCCATCCCACCGGGGGGGGGACTGAGCAAGTGTCTTACTGTGGTGCTTAGTTGCTGGCTGGGGGTAAAACATGATAGCTGTGGCCAATTAGTTGCTGGCTGGGGTTAAACCATGATAGCTGTGGCTAGTGTAACAATATGGAGTCACACCATGAAATTGATCTATGCTACGCTATAAAGCAAACATATAATAATGCATTTTTGTCCATCTTCTTCTTTTTCCTTACACCTCCCAAAAATTTGGGGTAGGAAGATGACATTTTTCATTTCCTGTACATGAAAGTATATGTTCTTTTCAAACTTCCCTTTTTATTAGGAACAATTTGGAAAAATGTGGAGATGCTGGACCATCAGAAATGGTAAATAGGTTAATGATTCACATATCTTCTTGTGTTAGCTGTGCAGTACTCTTTCAGTGTGATCAAGCAAATTACAATGAGTCTAAAGGAACTTTCCTTTTGAATTTAATAATTACAGCTTTTGTAATTTGCAGTTTCAGTGCATACGTTTGATTAAAGACACTTTATATCTTTCATTGTTATTTTTAACATTTATACAGTGCTTTACATCTTCAAAGCACTCTGCTGACATTACCTTATTAGTTCTTGCAATGCTTAGATGCAATTTTCAGTCTGCTTTTATATCACAGTCCTATTTTAATTGCTATTTAAAGCTGTATTAAATATGTTTATAATGGTCCGTAAAGAGGAATGCTTAGTAGGAAAACCACTGTACCAAGAACTTGTGTTGTACATTTCTTAAACTATAAAATACTTTGGTGTATGTGATACTTCAGATTTAGCCCAGTACTGAACTCTGCTAATGAGGGTTTCAGGCTTGTTCTCCCCTAGCACAGCATGACGCTAACCAGCATCAGTAAGAGAATGCCAGCGCTGTTCCTCCATTTGTTTTCATTGCTGTCCTGGTGAGGCTTCTTTTTCTGAACTTGCTAGGTGAAATGCAAATCATTGCAAATACTATCGCTGAGGTATCAGTGCTCACTTTTCACCCACTGAAGACAATGAACAGCACAGGAGCCCTGCCAGGCACCGTTCGTGCTTCCCACCAGGTTGCCTGCAGGAGCACATTGGTTGTGAGCCCCTACAAAAGCAGTGCTGCCTGCTTTTATGGGAGTACTCTTGAGGACAGTGCTTTTTCCCCCATGAGCCCCCCTGTTCTTGATGCCGCAGTTAAGTTTACTAAGCTCATGTTTTTCTCCTAAGCTTGCTTCTCAACTTCCAAAGTGTCAAAAAAAAATTCAGTCATTAGTTATCTGAACTTTTAGCTGTTACTGCTTTTTCTTTACGTTTCTTCTCCTGTTATATAAACACACTCCAGAAAATATTGCAAGTTTCTTTGAATGTCTATTGCTAATAAATATTTTTGCCAATCACAAAATTAGATTTGTAGATTCTTGTATTGCTGAAACCTACATAGAATTCAAATATATCATCCAGATTGCATAGAAGCTTGGACCTGTCCCACCTATTTGATGTCTCTGAAGAACAAATGAAATATGGTTGTCAGAAAATGGTGTCAAGTGACCTATGGCATTTAATGTTAGCTTGCAATTGAAAACACTTCCTCATCGTTGATGACTATATAATTATGAATTCACAATTATGCTTGATTTCATAAGTACTGATCATTTACAGCCACTGAAGTGAGAAATTGCTCAGAGCTCCTGAAATTTAAGTCACTGCTGCCTGAGTTACACAACCTCCCTTAAAGGTGCACGGTGCATGTTGGCATCTCTTGGCAATCCTTGCCCTTAGTTACAGGAGAGCCACTCCTTCCTGTCACCTAGTAACTTCTTAATAGTCAACATCAACTCAGAGTTTCTGAGTTAGAGTATGATTTGTCAGTGTGTGAGTGGCATATAGTACTTTTTTAAACATTATTTAGGTTACAAACACTAAACAGTGTAGTCTGAAACAAGGACAACACCTTGTGGAAGTGTTTGAGCAGAAAAAAAAATTGTAGTAGTATATTCTCAACATAAAATGGAAACGGCTGAAGTTAAGATTACACCTGCAGGCAATTCAGGCCAACTCCTGGAAAAAATCTGGCACCTGAACTTGCTAATGAGAGATGTGCTTCTGAAAAGTGATCTGGATAATGAAGGTATCGCAGAGTATGTGTTTAGACTGATCACTTTAACAAAAGAACTGAGCAGATCTCTCAGCCAGCAGCTGGAGAATGTTACTGAAGGTCTTCAAGACACTTACCACTTGCTGAGTGCTCTCCATGACAAACACAAGGAATTGACTGCAAGTCCAGGCAAGTATGGAGGGGATTACCTGTAAGGAGAATGGACTGGGTATACCGGATGCTAAATTCTGCCACTGAGTATACTGGATGTTAAGTTCTGCTGTGTGATGGTGCTGGGGGACCTTACTTTTCATTTGTTAGTATTTCAGTACTTGGTCATTCATTAGACCAAATGAATTCATATTTCAACAGTTGTATTACAGTGGTTTTTAGTCTTTTACATGAGATTCAATATGAGACTCATAATTGTCATTATGGGAGAAAAAAATAAAATTAACTATAAAGAATTGTTTCAAAATTTTATGTATATTATACTTTGGTGGGTTTATCTTGGCCAGACACCAGGTGCCCACCCAGCAACTTACTCTCCCTCCTCAAAATGATAGGGGGAGAAAATAAGATGGAAAAGCTCATGGATCAATATAAAGACAGCGAAATCACTTACCACTTACTGTCATGGGTAAAATGGAATCGCCTTAGGGAAAAAAAAAAATTTAATTTATTGCCAATTGAAATCGATTTGAATAGTGAGAAAGAAAGGCAAAAAATTAAAACAACACCTTTCTCCCATTCCTCCTTTTTTCCAGACTCCCCTTCACTCCTGCATTCCCAACTCCTCTACCTCCTCCCCGGCCTGAGAAGCGCAGGGGGGTGGGGAATGGGGGTGACAGTCAGTCTATAACAGTTGCTCTGTGCAACTCCTTCCTCCTCACGCTTTTCCCTGCTCCAGCATGGGTCCTTCCCAAGGCCCACAGTTCGTGTCAGGAAAAGCTGATCTCTCCATGGGCTGCACTTCCTTCAGAGAATATCTACCTGCTCCGGCATGGCGTCCTCCATGGGCTGCAGAGTGGACATGGTCTCCCATGGTCTGCAAGGAAATCTCTTTTCCAGGCCTGGAGCACCTCCTCCCGCTCCTTATTCTCCAGCCACGGTGTTCGCAGGGCTGTTTCTCGCACTTTTTTCTTCACTCCTCACTGTTGTCCGCTGTTCTTGCCTTTTCTTAAATATGTTTTCACAGAGGCAGCACCAATTTCGCTGGCAGGCTCAAATCAGTCCTGCATAGGCCCATTCTGGAGCCGGCTGGAGCCAGCTGGAGCCGGCTGTGTCCAGCACGGGGCGGCCCCGGCCTCCCCTCACAGAGACCACCCCTGCAGCCCCCGCTGCCAGCGCCTCACCAAGTAAACGCAACATACATAGTCTACAGTCCACTACAAGTAACAACATAGTTAAAAAAATAACAACAAAAATAAGAATGTGTTCTTCCATGTTAGCGTACAGGTAAACACATGGAATTCAATTTCTTGCATGTATAATAACAGTGTGTTTATAATAACAGTGTTACTTATTGTGAGGATCAAATCCAGATTCTTTTTCCTGGAAAAAAAGCTGAATCATTTTGCAACGATGAAACAACTCTCTTTCCTCAGAAACAATATCTTAGCAAACGTGTGTGAAAGTAGAAAAGAAAACTAACATTTCTGCATTTAATAACGGTCTAACAGCATGATGCATAGACAGAGAGAGACACTCCAGGAAGAAATTTTTAGCTGTGTCTGCATTTATGAGCCTTTGTTCTACAGGTTTATTAAGTGTCCACAATAATAAAAGAACATTTTTGTAAAAATAAACAAGAAAAAAAAAAAAAATCCAGGCTCCAAGATCAAAGCTAAATTTGCCCTGTCAGCCTCATGGCCTATATGATTTTTTTTTTTTTTTAGACTTCTAAGAATGCAATATAATTTTACTTCTAAAAAGCTACTTTTCCTCAGCTGACATTTTCTCATAAAACAGTCAGCAAAAAGGTTTGAGGACAGTTGCATATAAACTGCCACCGTATTCCAAAGCCATGTTATCAAACATCAGAAAAGCGCAGAGCAGCAAAGTGTTAGAAAAGCAGTGGTGGCAGAGCAGTAGCATAAAAGAAGGCTTGTTCCGAGGTTAACCTTGTAACAGAATGCAAAAAGTGTCTTTTCAGGCAACACACTGGATAGTGTAAAGTTGCAAGGCCGTGTCTTTTCTTGGCTTTAACCACTGCAGTATTAGAAAAGACACATTCACAGCGTATAAAAATGTCGTTGTTCTGAGTGACCCTGTTATCTTCAAATTTGATTTTAGGGAAGTCTGAAGAGCTGTACTATTTGGTTTTGGGTTTTTTTGTTTTGTTTACAAAATGCAAAATTCAGGGAGGAAATAGATTAATTCTGGCAGTTTTGCTGAAGCTTGAACTTTGCCTTAAAATGAGACTAGGAAACGGTCTTTTACAACCCCTTATGCAAACAAAGGAGTACAAGCTATGTTATTTCCAATCCTTTTGTTTTATTTCTCAGCTCTGTTATATTATTTAGAAGTTCTTCTTCACTATTGTAAAAGTGCCCCTGGAAAAACAGCAGTAATTTAGAACAAACTTTTTATTTTTTCTTTGAACTACCAGTGGAAAAAAAATACTAAAAACGTGTTTTTTCTTTTTCTTTTTCTTTTTCTTTTTCTTTTTCTTTTTCTTTTTCTTTTTCTTTTTCTTTTTCTTTTTCTTTTTCTTTTTCTTTTTCTTTTTCTTTTTCTTTTTCTTTTTCTTTTTCTTTTTCTTTTTCTTTTTCTTTTTCTTTTTCTTTTTCTTTTTCTTTTTCTTTTTCTTTTTCTTTTTTTCCCAAATACAGTAAAAATCCAGTAACAAGTCATTTGGTAACAGAGAAAGTATTGCAAAATAATAATTTTTAGACTGAGTTCAACAAGAAAAAACTCTATTCCAAACTGTACTCTTTATAGGTTTAAATTAATCAGATATAAATAAAGATGAAAGTGAAAGGGCTATCTAGACCATATAACATCACATATTGATGTGTGATGACATTATTACTCAATAAAATTATTTTCCAAGTTGAAAACCTTGAGCTATTGATTTACCTTATATTATGTTATTGAAAAAAGTGTATGTAAGCCAGTTGTTTCCCTTAAGACTTGTATCAGCCCTTTTTATTGTACTTCCCTTGTGTGTCTGTGTCCATTATACGTGGAGAGGACACCGTACTGTGTTTCATTCTGTACAATTTTCTTATTTGTGTTGACTTTCACTGGATTAACCTGCAAAACAGAGCTTTTCAGGATCTCATGCAGCGAACAGGAATAAGAAAGAAATTTTCACAGAGGTTTGCAATATACCTAACTAATGAAGACACAGTTCCAGTTATAGACATTGACAGCATAAAGTGAGGGGACAGTTGAAATAATACATCTGAAATCCTTGGAGAAAATATCTGAAAGGATTTCCAAGAAAAAGTGTAAGATAAGTAAAATAAGGGATCATAAAGTAAATACATTAAAGATAGAATCTTACAGGAATGGCACATAGTAATTGTGTGCTTTTTGTGCATCCTTCTTCAACCAGTGTTTTTAGTTTTCTACAAGAGCAACCTCCACCATTCCCATAACTGGATGCCACAAATTGCTGAACTTAGTACTGTATATGTGCTGGTGGTTTTGTGTTATCCTCTATTCTCCATAGCAAAAATTCAAAGCTGCTAAGCATGTTTAATATTGAGCCCATGTATAACAGCTTTGTTAGAGACCCATGTGTAGAATCTTGCAGGATTCAATTTTAGAAAATACATATAATTAATGTTTAGTTATAAAACTCTTCCCAAATTGATTTGACTATAATTTACCAATTCCATGCTTCAAATTGATTGTCATCAAAATTTAGGTAGTGTTTCATCACTAGCAAGGTATTCATTAGAATTGCCACAGTAGTATTTCGACAAATACACAGTTGTATTTGGACACGTACACAAATGTACTTGTCTGTATTCAGTTCTTCAGAAATTCACTCAAATTGAATAGCAATAAATGTAAAAATATTAAATGGAAGCCAGGAAATACATTGTGCTTCATGTATTAAATGGCACTATGGAATTAGGTGGAATTCATTAGGTATGTGTATAAGAGTTTTCACATTTTTCCTGGCTTTCATAGCAAAATTCAATTGGTTACCCTATTTTTTTCCCCTCAGAGTACAATGGAATTACTGATTGTCTCCAGAAACTAAAGGATTATTTGATAAATACAGTCTCACATCTTCAAGAGGCAGAAGATAAACTTTATGCCGCTAGTTGCAGACAAGGTGATGATTCTCAGATCCAGACTGCTCAAAACGCTTCTAGAGAAACAGATGTGTGTTGTTCTGAAGGAGAAGCGACAGAGTATGTACAAGTATCTTCTAGTCCCAGTCAGCAATCCCAAAGAACTCCTTCCCTGAACAAGCGGGAAAGTCAGAATGTTGATCAAATACAGCCAAGTGAAACTAAAACTGTGGAAAAAGACATTATTGCATCATTAGCTGAAAATGTATCTGCTCAAGAGCAGGACCTTAGCAGAAAACCTCCAATAAAAAAGGAAGATGGTGAATACAGACTACTAATGAACTTTGTAACAGAGAAAAAAGATTGCAATGGAAAAGATAAACCTCATGGAGGTACCTCTGAAAAGTCTCCAGAACCAGCTTTTCAAGATGCTTTTACAAGCAGTGGGGAAGGCATTCTAGCTGGGCCATTGAACGACATTTATGACAGAACTGTCATGAATCTTTTTGAACAGGAAAAAAAGGCAGTAGTCAAAGAATCTTCAAAAGGGGTAGAAAGTGAAGACCATAGACTGAGAGAGCAAATAGGAGACAGTAAAATGGCAACAAATAATGAGATTTGTAGGAATGACCTAATTACCTTCACAAATTCAACACAAACGTGTGATATTACTGCTGTGAATCCTTTTATGAATGACTCGGAAGAAATACAAAAATCTAGGCATTGGATGAAGAAAGAGTAAGCATATTTTTTTTTTTTAAGAACAGTTGTACATAAATACTGCTTTTTAGCATACATACCCTGCTGTCCCTGCTTGACCTGCTGTTTATGAACAGAGAAGGAGATGTGGTGGTCAGAGGCTGTCTCTGGCTTAGTGACGATGACATGATAGAATTCTCAATTCTTGGTGAAGTAAGGAGGAGTGTCAGCAAAACCACTACCATGGAGTTCCGGAGGGCAGACTTCAGCCTGTTCAGGTAGCTGGTGAGAGAGTTCCTTGGAAGACAGTCCTGAACGGCAAAAGGGTCCAGGAAGGCTGGACATTCTTCAAGAAAGAAATCTTAAAGGCAAAGGAGCAGGCAGTCCCCATGTGCTGTAAGACGAGCTGGCGGGGAAGACAACTGGCCTGGTGGAACAGGGAGATTTTGCTGGGACTCAGGAAAAAAAGGAGAGTTTATCATCTTTGAAGAAGGGGCAGGCAACTCAAGAAGAGTACAAGGATCTTCTTAGGTCATGCAGAGAAAAAAAAAAAGACAAAAGCCAGCTAGGATTCAATCTGGCCACGGTCATAAGGGACAACAAAAAATGTTTTTACAAATATATTAACAGGAAGAAGAGAGCCAAGGAGAATCTCCATCCCTTATTGGATATGGCGGGGAACATTGTCACCAAGGATGAGGACAAGGCTGAGGTACTTAATGCCTTCTCTGCCTCAGTCTTTAATAGCCAGTCCAGGTATCTGCAGGGTATTCAGCTCCCTGAGCTGAAAGACAGGGATGGAGAGCACAATAACCCCCTCATAATCCAGGAGGAAGCAGTTTACAACCTGCTGTGCCACCTGGAAACCCACAAGTCTATGGGGC